TCTGTAGTAGTTTATTGAACCACAATACCAATAAGTGATTAATAAAAGTCAAAAGACCAAAGAGGTTACCTTAATACTATAAAAAAAATAATTAATTATATCTTTTTTAAATTATATGTTTTTAATTAACTAATTAGAATAAACAATTACAATTTAAATAATTAAACTAATTTTTAAATATAAATTTAGTTTAATTAATAAATTTAAATTTTTTAGAAATATTATTTATAGTTTTAGTTATATTAGTATAACTAAAAGATTATAAAATATTTGTATATTAATAAAAAAAAACAAATTAATATAAAATAATACAAATCTGAAATAGTGTTATAGAGTGGAAGCCTTCTTATTTTCATACTACAACAATGACACAGCACAGGGAATCTCTTACAGGTATATGCAGTGTCCAAGAGGGAAGTATAGCTTCTGTTAGATGTTGTCAAGAAGCTATACCCATCTCTGAGGCAGTTCAATAATTATTACATAGTAGTTTGTAATTAAAGTCATTTATTAAAGAATTGCAAGAAGTGTAATCCTTAGGTGCCTGTTCTAAAGGATTCAAGGTATAAATTACAGGATAAAGAAGAAGGGAAATTGTCTGTTTCTTGAGAACTGTTAGTTATAGAACTTGTTGAATTTTTTTTTTTTTTTACTTAGGAGAATTTAGAGGGTTTATATATTTGTAAGCTAAGCAGCTAAGCGACTAAAGGACTAAGCGACCAGTTGCACTAAGGGACTAAGCAACTGGTTTCACTAAGGGACTAAGCAACTAGTTATACTAAGAGACTAAGTGACTAGTTATACTAAGGGACTAAGTGACTAGTATCACAACTTAAGGCATTAAAATGTTTAAAGCATTAAAGCAACTATAACTAATAAATAATACAATTATAGAAATCTATCCTATAGTGGGATTCACCTAAAGCCATCATATAAAATACACTTAATTTAACTTAAAATAAATTGATCAAATTTGTATATTTATCAAATTTTTTTTTGATCAAATTATTCTTTACTAATTTATCTACAAATCTATCAAAAAATATTTAATATTTAATAAGTCAAACCTTTTGTAATATCAATTTAAAATTTGGCAATTTATATATATTTTAAAAAATTGGCGCCTATAGTTTAATGATTTCACACAAGAATAACTACTACCCTTCGGAACATATCGGCATTCCTTGCTCGTAATTTAAGTTCATTTACTATCTACACCAGAAATTTTCGGAATATAGGTACTGTATCTTGACAAAATTAATAGCTGCTCGATACGTAAGTATCGAGGCACCTTTTGTCTCGAATCATCGAACATGTGATAGGCCCGGTTACGATCACATGTTCGATCAATCAATCGATCGAACGTAAGTATGAGGTAATCGGGTGATTAGTAATTCAATCAGTGATGTAAGTATAGCATTGTAATTAATATCATTATTACAATCAATTCATTAAATACGAGGTAATCGGGTGATTAGTAATTCAATCAGTGATGTAAGTATAGCATTGTAATTAATATCGTTATTACGATCAATTCATTAAATACGAGGTAATCGGGTGATTAGTAATTCAATTAGTGATGTAAGTATAGCATTGTAATTAATATCGTTATTACGATCAATTCATTAAGTACGTCGTAATTGAGTAACCCAGGATTACGCCAAGCAAAATTTATAATATCAATTGAACACCTTACATTTTAACCTTAAAACATATAAAATACACGTAATAAATAAAACGATTAAATTCGAGTTACATATCTAATCAATGTTATGTTAGCGCATACCCAGGATTACGCCAAGCGAAATTTATAATATCAATCGAATGCCTTACATTTTGACCTTAAAATACACGTAATAACCTGAAATAACTCATGAATCTATCCCATGATAATTTGTCCTATGGCCACTAACCTAAAAGGTAATGCTAATTGAGTTCATAGTAGCATATAAATTTTAAAATAATAACGCTAAAAAGGTGGAACGATGTCAGGGCTGCACAGATGAATTTTTATGGCCTTTGCTTTCATATGAAAAAGCGAATAGTTAATATAGATAAAATCAAGTCAAAAGAAAAAAAAGAAAATAAATGGATACTCCCTATTTCAAGTTCTAATAAGGTAAAATAAAGCAGAAATTACAAACAAATCCACAAGCCTACGAGTTATTTCCAGCTTATCATAAGTTTTTGAACACCTCAAATGTCAAAATGATGCCAACGACTATGGAATAGATGGTTTGCAAATATTATATAAACTGACCATTGTTGTATTTGTCTTGATAAATTTCGTATCAATCGTATTCCTAAGTGCTTTCCAATACCTGGGTCTTGTAATATGGGTCGAATTAAAAAAATTTTATTTATGCGCCGTGCAAATGCCAAAAAAGCAAGAGAGAAAAAAGAACTTAAGGACAAAGATAAAGATGACTTACCAATCGTTGACGATGCATATGACTTGGAGAATGATGAAGCAGCGGAAACAGTATTTAGAAAGCTTATTGAAAATGCTAAAGAAATGGATTATAATAAAAATTCACGTTGGAGGTATACTGGAAATTCTGATCGTACAAGACAACGAAGGACATGACAAAACCGTATAAACGCAGTAGGGAGCTATAAAATAACCCAGTTTTTCGCCCCAGTAAATAATATAAATGAAGCCACAGGAGACCAGCAGTCAGATTCAGAAAGTGATAGTGATCTTGAACTCGAAGAAAAACCATTAAAATGGAAACAACAACTTCAAGAAACTGAGAAAAGGATACAAAATCTGCTAGATACTATGGAAATGTCAAAGACAGATAAGGTGAAGTATGTTTCTGTGATCCATTATATTCGACTTCTTCAACATGACTCATCTAAAATGGAAGCAAGTCGAGTTGTGGCAACCATTCACAATGGTGGTGAGTATCATGCCAGATGTATATAAGCATGGGGAAAAAGATGTTTAGAAGGTAATCTCTTACCTCCATCTCAACGTGGAAAGCACCCATCGCAGTCACTTCTTCATGATGAAGAAGTCTCCTTAAAAGTAGCAAATTACTTAAGATCAACAAAATTCAAAGTAAATCCAAGACTTGTCAAACAGTACTTTGAAAATAATATTCTGCCTGAGCTTCACATTGATCAAGTGCAAACGATTTCTTTGACTACGGCACGGCGTTGGATGAAAAAAATAGGGTTTTATTATAAGAGATATCAAAAAGGTGTATATGTGGATGATCACGAAAGGGAGGATGTGGTTGCGTATCATAAAGTATTTCTACAAAATATGGCAGAATATAAAAGGTTGATGCCTAAGTGGACTGATGTTGATTGTAAAGTATGTGAAGAGCCGTATTTATTGCCTGGTGAACAAAAACATATCTTGATTAACCATGATGAATGTACCTTCCATTCTTATGATGGCACCCGTGAGTTTTGGGCACCTGAAGGTAAACAACCGTTAAGGAAAAAAGGACTCGGAAAAGGGCTTCATGTTAGTGAATTCCTAGTAGAAACAATTGGAAGATTGAAAGATGAGAAGGAAGAAGCAAGGTTAATAATGCAATTGGGTGCGAATCATGACGGATATTGGGATGGACAAAAGTTACTTCCCCAAGTAAAAAATGCCATAGATATATTTGAAACGACTCATCCAGGATATATTGGGGTTTGGGCATTTGATAACGCCACCAGTCACAAAGTTATGGCACCTGACGCATTAGTAGCTGCTAGAATAAATTTAAAACCTGGTGGACAGCAGCCAAAGATGAGAAACACTGTATGGAATGGAGAAACCCAAACGATGGTGTTCCCAGAGGATTATGAAGATGACCCTACTTTACAATCAGAACTGAAAGGAATGAAACAAATTCTTAAAGAGAGAGGCCTTTGGAAAGATGGAATGTTAGCAGACTGTAAAGTACGTAAAAAAGATAAATTGAATTCTGACATAGTAAATTGTTGTGCACAGCACCTTATTGCGAACCAGCCAGATTTTTTAAATGAACGTGGATTAATTCAACAAGAGATTGAAAAACATGGTCATAAGGTAAGTAAATTACCCAAATATAGAACTTTACAATTAAATAATTAATCTTTACCTCAGGTGATTTTCTATCCTAAATTCCACCCGGAACTTAACTATATTGAAACGTACTGGGGTGCAGCAAAGAGACACGCGCGAGAAAACTGTGACTACACATGGAAGGGACTACAAGAAAATGTACCAATTGCACTTGACTCCGTTCCAGTTGAAATGAACAGAAAATACGCAAGGCTTTCTTACCAATGGATGGATACTTATCGAAAAGGGTTAACCGGCCGAGCAGCCGAGTACGCTGTCAAAAAGCAAAGGAGTCATCGCTCAATTAGTTTGGTAGATTTGGTTGAAAATGGCGATTAGTTAATTTTTTGATTTTTTAACATTGATAAAATATGAATAAATAAAATGCTTGTAAAAAAAAAAGCAACGAATATACTTTACTTACAGAGTTAAGAGTTAAGAAAGTGTAATTTATACAGTATCAAATGTGATTATCGCATCGATTATGCATGTGATAAAAAAATTCGATCGTAATTTATACAGTATCAAATGCATGATTATCGATTATGTATTTGATAAAAAGTAACGATAAAGTATGAACTATAAACCTAAATTAATACCTTTCGGAACGTTTCGGACTTGGATACAAATTTTTTTCGACCTTGCTCATAATTTGTGTTAAGTGATTTTCTATTTCGGAGCTTTTCGGTTAAATATTAGTCATAGGAAAATTGGCGCCTATATATAAGAGGTGATGGCTTTAGGTGAATTCCACTGTATAACATTTCCATCTCCTTAAAGAAATTTGTTTTACAAATTCTAAATTATTATAGAAAGTTAAAAATAAGTTCTGTTTCTATTATTTGTAATCATACGATTTACAAATTATTATTATTCCAAATTTGTTAAATCAATTTCCAATTGATTCCCAAATTTGTTAAATCAACTTTTCTTTTGTTCCTAATTTTGTTTCATTAAAAAAATTTGATCATTGTCCGTAAGAAGAAAAGAAAAATTTTATATCTCTTCCTCCTTTTTTTTCAAAAAAAAAATCAACAACAACAACAATAATAATAATAATAATAATAATAACAATGCCAAGAACCAATGTATCAAGAAATATTCGTCGTGGGGGCAATAATGCCTTGTATGAGGCCTTGGGAGTGGTCCAAGATGCGAATGTGTGGTAAATATTAAAAAAAAATTTTTTTTTTTTCGTATTTAACTAACAAGAAAAATTTCCTATAGTTTACTTCATTTGGTGGCCTCTTAGAGAAGAAGAATTTAGAGTTTAGAAAAAGAGTTAGAAGAGTGTAGATCGAATGCAGTGTTAAGGGTACAGGATGAATGAATGTTAGAGCAGAGATATACGAAGTTGTTGGAGGAAAGAAATAGGTTGAGGGCCAGATTGGAGAATTGTGAAGAAGAGTTAAGAAGGTTACGAGAAAAAAAAAGAAGAAATGAAGATAGTAGTAATAGAGATAGATTGTCGGGTGTTAGATTTTAGATTATATTGTTTTTGTTATTAGATTTTTTTTTTTTTCATTTTTTTTTTTTTTTTTGTTTTAATAAAATATAAAATTTTTAAAGTTTAAATAAATAAAATATAATTTTATAATGTTAAAAAAAAATATATAATGGTTCGAAGAAAAATAAAATAATGATGGTTTCCAGTATTTCAACCAAGGG